TCCCCGCATCTACCCAGCTTGTAACTCTTTGGAAAAAAGAGATCAGATGAGTCTGGCATGACTTGTTTTTGATAAATCCACGATGACCGCATTTGTTTCTAAGTGTTTGCAGACCACGTCCTTGATAATCTTTTCCAGAATCTTGCCTGGTATCGACGTGAGGCTGACCGGACGGTAGTTGTTTGGGTCATCCTTTTTTCCCTTCTTGAAGATTGGGACCTCATTGGCCCTCCTCCAATCTGCTGGAACCTCTCCTGTTAAAGCAGTTTGACACCACTTTAACTACATGGCTCAATAATAGGGAATCATGGGAGTTGTAATTTTGACAAGGTGCTCAGCCTTCCTGTCCAAGGAGTATGGGAGTCTCACTAAACTGTAAATCCCAGGAACCATGGAAGTTAACGTGGTGTCAAATTGCATCCATTTTATAGTATAGATGAATCCTTTTGCAATCACCGGTGAGTTGTATTGCATTCAAAGTTTTGGAGTTTCTTGTTAATTGATGTCTTTCCTGGAAGTTAGGAAAGATACTACATTTTTGCAGGTATACTGATGTGAGTAAATCTATTGGCTTGGTCCTTTCTAAAACAAAATCACATCCAACACCATCTCAAAGTCCCAGGATTGCATGGAGTGGAGATACATCTTTCCATTCTTTTTTTTCATGTCAGGAGCGACTTGAGAAACTGCAAGTTGCTTCTGGTGTGAGAAAATTTACGGTCTGCAAGGATATTGTCCAGGGAACACCCAGATGCTTGATGTTTTACCATCCTTGGGGTAGGTCTCTCTCATGTCCCCGCATAGGGAGCTGGAGCTGACAGAGGGAGCTCAACCCACTCTCCCCATATTCAAACTGTCTTGCCGGCACAAGAGTTTAGTCCATTACACCACAGGGGACTCCTGCATCTTTCCATGAACCTTATGTATGGAAAAATGGATACCAAGGGCTTTTTCTGTTAGATAGAAATGTATTAGCAGTGAATATATTGTGCAAAATACAGTTCTAATGGACATGTGATCACATACCTGCAGAATGATTAAGTGGGTAGTGATGTATTAACTGCAGAAAAGGCTGAGTCATGATCATGTGAAATTCATGACAAAGGGTTCCATCATTCATTTGTCCCTAGAGGTAGGTATAAAAGAAGGAAGGAAATGCCATTCTTTCTCTTGCCATGCGTGTCTTGCCATCGTGCCTCTTGACTGTGTCTTTAGTCTACATCGTGAGTATATTATTGCATATGCCATTGACTGATTGTGGATTAGGGGATCCTGATCTGTGTACATATCTGTATATATAGAGCAACGTGTCAAGATTATAAGCCTCCCGATAGTTTGCCAAAACCAAGGTTACAACAACACCGGTTATAGAACTCCAATATGCTGATGACATCGTCTGTGGGCATTCAGAAGAAGACCTACAAGCCACTCTAAATACCTTCGCAGAAGCATACGAGAAGCTCGGCCTGTCATTGAACATCGAGAAGATCAAAGTGCTCTTCCAGCAGTCGCTAGCCAATCCCTCTCCAATGCCAGAGATACAGCTTAATGGTGTAACATTAGAAAATGTTGACCATTTCCACTCCCTTGGCAGCCACCTCTCCACAAAAGTCAACATTATTTATTTATTTAGCAGTTTTGTATACCGGTCTTCTCACCTCAGTTCGAGGGACTTAGGCCGGTTTCCAACATCAATATTACAGACAGTCATTAAAACACCATATTCTAAATCACACTAAAACATTAAAATAGCAAAATACAATCATATAATTACAGTGGTCAGTCGTCATCAAAAATCATTATTCGTCGTCATCCATCCATATCACAGGATCATGGCTCATTCGTTGAATGCCAATCCCCAATGCCAAGTTTTCACCTGTTTCCTGAACATTAAGATAGAAGGGGCAGTTCTGATCTCCAGTGGAAGGGAGTTCCAGAGTCGAGGGGCCACCACCAAGAAGGCCCTGTCTCTTGTCCCCACCAGCCGCGCCTGTGAGGCCGAAATTCATTGATACCGAAATTCAACACTGCCTGAGCTCTGCGAGTGCAGGTTTTTTCTGACTGAAGCAGAGAGTGTTTGAGGACCGGGACATCCGTAGGGAAACCAAGGGGCTTGTTTATAAAGCTATTGTCCTCCCAACCCTGCTATACTCCTGCGAGATGTGGACCGTCTATAGGCATCACATGCAACTCCTAGAACGATTCCATCAGCGCTGCCTCCGGAAAATCCTGCAAATCTCTTGGGAAGACGGGCGGACAAATGTCAGCGTGCTGGAAGAAGCAAAGACCACCAGCATTGAAGTGATGGTCCTCCACCATCAACTCCGCTGGACTGGCCACGTTGTCCGGATGCCCGACCACCGTCTCCCAAAGCAGTTGCTCTACTCTGAATTCAAGAAGGGAAAATGGAATATTGGAGGACAGGAAAAGAGATTTAAAGATGGGCTCAAAGCTAAACTTAAAAACTGTGGCATAGACACTGAGAACTGGGAAACCCTGGCCCTTATGCGCTCTAGCTGGAGGTCCGCTATGACCAGCAGTGCTGTAGCAGACTGGTATCCAGTGCAGTTGGCGTAAGAGAGGGCTTGTATGCTCCCTGTACCCCACTCTGGAAAATAATCTGACTGCTGTCCATTGGACACTGAGAACAGGGAAGCCCTGGCCCTTGAGCACTCTACCTGGAAGTCAGCTGTGACCAGCAGTGCTGTAGAATTCAAAGAGGCACGAATGGAGGGCGAAAGAGAGAAATATGCTAAGAGGAAGGCACATCAAGTCAACCTTGACCAGGACCACCATCCACCTTGAAACCAATGCCCTCACTGCGGGAGAAGATGCGGATCAAGAATAGGGCTCCACAGTTACCTACGGACCCACCGCCAGGACACCGAACTTGGAGGACGGTCTTACTCAGACAACGAGGGATTGCCTAAATTACTATACCAGTGTTTCTCAACCTTCCTAATGCCGCGACCCCTTAATACAGTTCCCCATGTTGCGGTGACCCCCAACCATAACATTATTTTCATTGCACTTCATAACTGTTATTTTGCTGCTGTTGTGAATCGTCATGTAAACTATCTGATCTGCAGAATGTATTTTCATTCACTGGACCAAATTTGGCACAAATACCCAATATGCCTAAATTTGAATACTGGTGGAGTTGGGGGGGGGGGGTTGATTTTGTCATTTGGGAGTTGTAGTTGCTGGGATTTATAGTTCACCTACAATCAAAGAGCATTCTGAACTCCACCAATGATGGAATTGAACCAAACTTGGCACACAGAACTCCCATGACCAACAGAAAATACTGGAAGGGTTTGGTGGGCATTGACCTTGAGTTTTGGAGTTGTAGTTCACCTACATCCAGAGAGCACTGTGGACTCAAACAATGATGGATCTGGACCAAACTTGGCACAAATACTCAATATGCCCAAATGTGAACACTGGTGGATTTTGGGGAAAATAGACCTTGACATTTGGGAGTTGTAGTTGCTGGGATTTATAGTTCACTTACAATCAAAGAGCATTCTGAATCCCACCAACAATAGAATTGGGCCAAACATCCCACACAGACCCCCCCCCATGACCAACAAAAAGTACTGTGTTTTCTGAGGATCTTTGGTGACCCCTCTGACACCTCCTCATGACCCCCACAGGGCTCCCGACCCCCAGGTTGAGAAACACTGTACTATACTGATGCCTGACCACCGTCTCCTACTCCGAACTTAAGAACGGAAAACGGAACGTTGGTGGACAGGAAAAGAGATTTAAAGATGGGCTCAAAGCCAACCTTAAAAACTCTTGCATAGACATTGAATCATAGAATCATAGACTCAAAGAGTTGGAAGAGACCTCATGGGCCATCCAGTCCAACCCCATTCTGCCAAGAAGCAGGAATATTGCATTCAAATCACCCCTGACAGATGGCCATCCAGCCTCTGTTTAAAAGCTTCCAAAGAAGGAGCCTCCACCACACTCCGGGGCAGAGAGTTCCACTGCTGAACGGCTCTCACAGTCAGGAAGTTCCTCATGTTCAGGTGGAATCTCCTCTCTTGTAGTTTGAAGCCATTGTTCCATTGCATCCTAGTCTCCAGGGAAGCAGAAAACAAGCTTGCTCCCTCCTCCCTGTGGCTTCCTCTCACATATTTATACATGGCTATCATATCTCCTCTCAGCCTTCTCTTCTGAGGCTAAACATGCCCAGCTCCTTAAGCCGCTCCTCATAGGGCTTGTTCTCCAGACCCTTTATCATTTTAGTCGCCCTCCTCTGGACACATTCCAGCTTGTCAATATCTCTCTTGAATTGTGGTGCCCAGAACTGGACACAATATTCCAGGTGTGGTCTAACCAAAGCAGAATAGAGGGGTAGCATTACTTCCCTAGATCTAGACACTATGCTCCTATTGATGCAGGCCAAAATCCCATTGGCTTTTTTTGCCGCCACATCACATTGTTGGCTCATGTTTGACTTGTTGTCCACGAGGACTCCAAGATCTTTTTCACACGTTCTAGACACTGAGAACCGGGAAGCCCTGGCCCTTGACCGCTCCAGCTGGAGGTCAGCTGTGACCAGCAGTGCTGCAGAATTTGAGGAGGCACGAGTGGAGGGTGAAAGAGAGAAACGTGCCAGGAGGAAGGCGCGTCAAGCCAACCCCGACCGAGACCGCCTTCCGCCTGGAAACCAATGCCCTCACTGCGGGAGAAGATGCAGATCAAGAATAGGGCTCCACACCCACATACGGACCCACAAGGAAATCCATAATGGAAGACCATCTTACTCGTCCAACGAGGGATCGCCTAAGTAAGTAAGTAAGTAAGTAAGTAAGTAAGTACTATACTCTGCTGATAAGAACTCTGCTGTATTTGTTTTTGCTTGCCTCTGAAGCATTCAGTTCAGTGTGCAACGTTTCCAGGGAGGGCGTGATTGGAGAACTGCAAATCACGCACCTATCCTACAACATTTTCTCTCTTAGTGACCAGTTTACAAAAGGCTGACCCACCTTGCTGAATTCTCCTTCCAGTTCCCGGATCTTCGAGAGGAACTCCAGTCTCCCTGAATGGCTGTTGGATTTGGTGACCAAGGAGTGGACCTGATCCTCCAGCAGGCTGTAGAGCGCCAAGGCCCGCTCGATGCCCATCCTAGAAAGGAGGTGGTTTAAAAAAGGAAGGAAACGTAAACACCATGCGCATTACGGAAATACATTTCGTTCTTCTAGACATGCATGGGTAGGACTGAAATAACCAACCCTTCTGTGTGGGACAGCGGAGCTAGGATGAGACCTGAGACACCAGGAAGGCAAAGACAACAAACAATACGTTTGGACAAAGCCTCCAAGAAGCCCACCAATGCTTTTGGTCCAACCTACTCACTGCACTAGCTGAGCATAAGTATTGTATCTGACTTTAGAGTCCTGATGAGCAATATCTAATTCAGGCATGGGCAAACTTCAGCCCTCCAGGTGTTTTGGACTTCAACTCCCACAATTCCTAACAGCCTACATAGCATACTATTTGAGAACACAGAAATGCTGGACCACTCTCACAACCACCATGTCAGACTACACAGAGAAGCCATTGAAATCCACAAGAAGCATGTGGACACCTTCAACAGACAAGAGTTCTTTCTCCCACCCTGGACCTTCCACACGACCTTTCTACATGGGGTTGCCTCTGAAGACTGCCCGGAAGCTTCAATTAGTCCAACGAGCAGCAGCCAGATTGCTAACAGGAGCGGGGTACAGAGATCATACGACCCCTCTGTTACGCCAGCTCCACTGGCTGCCGATTAGCTTCCGAGCACAATTCAAAGTGCTGGTTTTGACCTATAAAGCCCTAAACGACTCCAGCTCAGTTTACCTGTCCGAACGGATTCTTCCCTATGAACCATCAAGATTACTAAGATCGTCTGGAGGGGCCCTGTTCTCGGTCCCACCACCTTCGCAATCGCGTTTGGTGGGAACGAGGGACAGGGCCTTCTCGGTGGTGGCTCCTCGGCTTTGGAATTCCCTCCCACAAGAGATTAGACCTCATGGGCCATCCAGTCCAACCCCATTCTGCCAAGAAGCAGGAATATCGCATTTAAATCACCCCTGACAGATGGCCATCCAGCCTCTGTTTAAAAGCTTCCAAAGAAGGAGCCTCCACCACACTCCAGAGCAGAGAGTTCCACTACTGAATGGCTCTCACAGTCAGGAAGTTCTTCCTCATGTTCAGATGGAATCTCCTCTCTTGTAGTTTGAAGCCATTGTTCCGCGTCCTAGTCTCCAGGGAAGCAGAAAACAAGCTTGCTCCCTCCTCCCTGTGGCTTCCTCTCACATATTTATACATGGCTATCATATCCCTCTCAGCCTTCTCTTCTTCAGGCTAAACATGCCCAGCTCCTTAAGCCGCTCCTCATAGGGCTTGTTCTCCAGATCCTTGATCATTTTAGTCGCCCTCCTCTGGACACATTCCAGCTTGTCAATATCTCTCTTGAATTGTGGTGCCCAGAATTGGACACAATATTCCAGGTGTGGTCTAACCAAAGCGAAATAGAACATGGGGAGCATTACTTCCCTAGATCTAGACACTAGGCTCCTATTGATGCAGGCCAAAATCCCATTGGCTTTTTTTGCTGCCACATCACATTGTTGGCTCATGTTTAACTTGTTGTCCACGAGGACTCCAAGATCTTTTTCACACGTACTGCTCTCAAGCCAGGCCTCATCGTCCCCCATTCTGTCTCTTTGCATTTCGTTTTTCCTGCCAAAGTGGAGTATCTTGCATTTGTCACTGTTGAACTTCATTTTGTTAGTTTTGGCCCTTCATTTCTCTAATCTGTCAAGATCCCTTTGAATCCTGCTCCCGTCCTCTGGAGTATTGGCTATCCCTTCCAATTTGGTCCCGTCTGCAAACTTGATGATCCTGCCTTCTAGCCCTTCATCCAAGTCATTAATAAAGATGTTGAACAGGATCGGGCCCAGGACGGAACCCTACAGCACTCCACGGGTCACTTCTTTCCCTTGTTTGCTTACCGGATGTCCGGAGAGGGGCTGAGCCGAGCGGCCTCCCTTCGGAGCCTGGCCAGCGTGGCCCCACCTTCCCGCTGCAGACCCTCCAGCCGCGTGTCGGACAAGACCTCCTGCATCAACTGCCGGTGGCGCTGTATCTGCTGTTGAACGGCCTGGAGGAGGAAGACAGCAGGGGGTTGAGACATTGGGGGGCAAAGCAGATCTCTCCCTGGTTAGAGACTAGGAGACAATGGAGCAATGCATTCAAATTGCAGGAATACAAAAAATGAGATTCCATCTGAACATTAAGAAGAACTTCCTGACTGTGAGAGCCGTTCAGCAGTGGAACTCTCTGCCCCAGGGTGTGGTGGAAGCTCCTTCTTTGGAGGCTTTTAAACAGAGGCTGGATGGCCATCTGTCAGGGGTGATTTGAATGCAATATTCCTGCCTCTTGGCAGAATGGGGTTGGACTGGATGGCCCATGAGGTCTCTTCCAACTCTATGATTCTATGAATAGAGATACCACTTGAATATTAGGAGGAACTACCTGAGGATGAGAGCAGTTGCATTGTGGAATACACTGCTATCTTGGAGACCAGTGGAATCTCCATCCCTGGAGGTTTTTAAGCAGAAGCTGAATAGCCATCTGTCTGGAGGGCTTAGATTGTGTCTTTCTGTCTGGCAGAAGGGAGTGTTGCACTCCAGGTCATGAAAAGGCCCTCTGACTTTAAAACACACCACTCAAAGAGTGAAGAAACAAATCTTCTTTTATTGAAGCTTAGTAAATAGCCAGAAGAAATAAATGCTTGTAAGTAAATAAGAAAGTTTCAAAAAGTAATACGTCCATAAAAGGCAGTTGCACAAAGCAATGTCCACACAAGAAATAAAAGCAATCCAAGACAGCATTAATCCAGACAGGAATCATCAGGATGCAAAGATAATCCAAAAGGCTAAAAAACTCCACACGAACAAGACCCCTTGAACTGGATTTCCATGGCACATGAATTTGGTTTCCAAACGATGCCTGATCTAACAGGTTTCCCCTTTAGGCAAACCTTATATCCCAAAACTCAGAAATTGGTTTCGCTTCCCTCCACATTTTCCCCTTATCAGACAAAGCCTTTCGGAGCGACGTAAACACTGAGTTAGCTGTCGATCCTGGCTAATAGTTAAAAGTAGAGACATCACACAGGCAACGAATATCCACATAGTTAAAGCAATGCTATTCCTTGTAGTAACTATGGATGTGAGCGCTGGACCATAAGGAAGGCTAAGTGCAGGAAGATAGATACTTTTGAACTGTTGTGATGGAGGAATAGCTATTCTTCAGCTCCCTATCTGGCTGCTCATTAAAATCCCCAGGTGTCAGATTGTTTTCCAAACCCAAATCTTGAGAGCTCACAGAGAGAGGGAGTGAACTATCATTGCTAGGCCCAGCAGGGATATTCTCATGAGAAACTGCCCTTTGCACTGGGTCCTCTCTGTCATTGTCTGCCTGAAAATCATTGACCAAACCATCTCCATCTTGAACCTCAGCCTCGGCACCATCACTTCCCTCATCATTTCCCACATCAGGATCCTGAAACACAAACACAGGCTGATTCACAACAGGGAGTTCATTTGGATGCCTTCTGGGGGTCCTTTCCAGTCTTTGATTCTATGATCCACACCCAATGCCATTCTGCAATGCCTAATTACAAGGCCAATATCTCACCTGGAAAGTCTCTGGCACTTTGCCCCGCTCCAGTTCTTTGATGGCACTCCGTAACAACTCCGAAGCCTTCGTGAGGTCATTTACGAAATGGTGCAACTTCTGCAAATTGGAAGCAAGAAAACATATTGGCAATTAAAACTAATAACTAGCAACAAAGACTATGCATACATATCCTTTGTTGGGAAAAAGTCTCCTGAAACATTGATGCATCTTGCTGAGAAACCTATCTACTGCTCTGGAATATTTTTGTATTATTATAATTATTGTTTACTTGTTTTCCCATTCCTTTGCATTGTTTGCTGCACACATACCAACATCTTCTTGAAAAGAATAACAAGAGTTGGGAAGATTAATTATCTTTAATTTTCTGGACCACAACTCCCAAAACCCACTGACTGCATTGAGTGGGGAATATGGGAATTATAGTCATAAAAAGTAACTTCTCCAGGGTTGCAGCCCATGTTCCAGGAACAAGAAGATACACTTTGCTAGATAAGGAATGGGTCTGTGGCCTCTATCAGGAGACCTGACAATACCCAATAGACAATCTCTTACCAAATGACAATGGAATGTCTGTACACACACAAACTATGTAACCCATTGTAACTCAAGATTTGGTGCATCCAAGAATGAAGGAGGGATCCTGCTTGTGAGCCCAACTGTAAATAAAATCCTGCGTTTTTCCCATTTCAGAAGACTCAGGGCCCTTCCACACAGCCATATAACCCAGAATATCATGGCAGATAATCCACAATATGTGCTTTGAACTGGGTGTGGACTGGGCTGTGGCACAGATGGTTGGGTGTCAGCTGCATTAAAATGACTACTGACTCATGAGTTTGAAGCCAGCCTGGGTCGGAGTAAGCTCCCGACCATTTCTCTAGCTTGCTGTCGACCATTGCAGCCCAAAAGACAGTTGCATCTGTCAAGTAGGAAATTTAGGTACTGTTCTGTTGCGCACTGGGCCTGTAACAGCTGACTTTTCTATAGGACGTATACTTTAAGCCCAGCGGGAAGCCAGGGCACCTCAAAGAGAGGTTCTCAGGGATTTTTCTGAAGTGATGGTCTTTAGAGTCTTTGATGATGCAACAAGGTCTTTATTATGGAACAAACAACAAATCTTCAATGGTTCAAACAACACTTCAAGGCTTTCTTAGTCTAGTCCTCAATGGACTGGTACCTGACTTTAATTAACTGTACTTTCTCTGTAGGAAAAAACCCTGTTTAACCTCTCCAAGGCTGTTTGCTATCTATGCCTCATTGGTGTGGGTCCTACTACCAATTCCACATGCGTCTGGGTATCAAGTAGACCTACCAGCCGAGGCTTGTAGATATTTCAGCTGGAGTTCCGTGGATCTGTAATGCTGTTCTCCCTTCGAGAATTCTTAGAAACTTCAGGGCTGTTTTTCCTCTGATTGCTGTGAGGCTGAGAGGCTGTGAGCTCTCAGCCAGAGCCTTGGGACCTTTTCCCTGGAATTTCTGTTTCCCCGGATGTTCTTGAGAAAAGAAGCTTTTCTACGGGACGAGCTGGTCTACATCCTATAGTTTAGCTTCCTTATGTGAGACAGCCCAAAAAATGGCTCCTTTCCCTCCCAGAGCCCTGAACAAGGGGCGGAACCAAAGCTTAATTATGATGGACAGGAGGCCTGCCCTATGACTGCAAACAAACAACAGAAAGAAAATAAAGTTGGAGCTCCTGGTACAGCCGTACCAGCACAGTAATATATAATACTAATATTGTACTATGTACAGGTACCGCTTTATGTGGGGAGACTAATTTAACTAATTTACGACACCATAAAACTCTCCAGCAGCGTGTAAAAGAATGAGGAAGTACTCCATCGGTGTCACAAGTGGATGGTGAAGCGACAGCTCCCATGGTGGCCAGAATTTGAGCATACCCACATGAAGTGGAATGCTAAATAGCCTCTGTGTGTCTGTCTATATATGTTGTGTGTCTATGACGTTGAATGTTTGCCATGTATATGTGCATTGTGATACGCCCTGAGTCCATTGCAAGGTGAGAAGTGCGGAATATAAATACTGTAAATAAATAAATAAACAATCGAAGTCCACACTGCCACATAACCTAGTTCAAAACAAATAGTATGGGTTGCTCAACCATTACATCATGGCGATGGCAATCGGCACCTGAAAGTACTGGACCCACTCGCTGTGGCAGTATGGGAACTGGCCATCCAGGGTCTGGGTCAACTGACTTCCATCCACGAATCGGGACAGCGCCTTCAGGTTGCTCAACAGCTCCACCTGCAGGTAGGACACAACAAGACACCCAGTGGTCAAGATGGTAAAAGCTGGATTACAACAAAATGTGCATCTGTGTTGAAGAATGAATACAGTTTGATACCACTATCTCATCCATGACTCAAGGCTATGGGATCCTTGGGAGTTCTAGTTTGGCAAGGAAGCAGTCCTTTAGGGCAGAGAAGGATCAAAACCTTGTGATAACAGCAAAATATATACAATTTTGTAGAATAAAAATAAATAAAAATATATTTACAACCTTGAAAACACTAATGGTTCTATATATTTTTACAGACATGGTTCTAAATGCCCTTGGTGTACAATTATTTATTTATTTATTTATTTATGTTGCAACCCAGAGCAGGAAACTGGACCCTCAGACAACAATCCACCACACTTGACCTCCGGAAAACAATCCTTCTTTATTGATGAAAGATGAATACAAAATAGAAGAAATATGCAAAGGTAAAAAGTCACTGTAAAAATCAGCAACAAGAAATGTCCATAAACAGGATCATGAAATCTACAGCAAAACTGCTGAATCCTGGAACCTGTTAGCAATCCACTAACTGTACTTGGAACAACTAGAAAACCTCCGAGGAACAAGGCCACTTGAATCAGGAGACCTGCAAAAGCTTGCACGTGAATCTGGAACGATGCCTGGTCTGAAGCTGCATTTAGGCCAGGCATACTTAAGGCCGAGAAATCTATTGCGAGACACGCCTGAAGACTTTGTTTGCATTTCTCTTAATCTAGCTGACCTACGTAAACGTTGTGCTTCCCCCCGGCTCTGCCAAATCTGCCCCCACCTATCCTCATTAGGCAGACCAGGTGTCAGATTCTCTGGAGAACTAAGATTGGGAGGAAAAGGGAGTGAAACGTCTCCGCTCGGCTCAGAATGCATGTTCTCATGGGAATCTTGACTTTCACTTTCCAAGGCTGGAGGATTTTCACTACTCAAACCATCATCATCTAAATTGGCCTCAGAATTCACACTGACATCTACATTGGCACCAGAAAATACAATCAGAGAATCAGGTTCAGGTTCACACACAGGCTGAACCCCAACAATTTATTTATTTACAGAATTTATATTCCGCCCTTCTCACCCCGCAGGGGACTCAAGGTGGATCACAATGCACATATACATGGCAAATATTCAATTCCATAGACACACAGCATATATAGACAGAGACACAGAGGCTATTTAACTTTCCAGCTTCAATAGGTTATGCTTTTTGAATTCCGGCCACTTGTGTCACCAATGGAGCACTTCCTCATTCTTTTGCACGCTGCTGGAGAGTTTTATGGCATCGTAAATTAGTTAAATTAGCCTCCCCGCATAAAGCGGTACCTAAATTTCCTACTTGACAGATGCAACTGTCTTTCGGGCTGCAAAGGTGGACAGCAAGCTAGACGAATCGTCAGGAGCTTACTCCGACCCGGGCTGGCTTCAAACTCATGACCTTTCGGTCAGTAGTGATTTTAATGCAGCTGACACCCAACCAGCTGCACCACAACCCGGTCCATCCACAATGGCACCATGATGATTCACAGGAGTGCCAAAAAACCCCAATAATACTAATTATGCAAATATATGCACCATTTTCCTATACTGTTGAAACAATAGAGTTTGACCCCACTTTCATTGCCATGGCTCCATGCTATGGAAACCTGGCAGTTATAGTTTGGGGAAGGTTTCTTTTGCAGAGAAAGCTGAAGACCTTGCAAACCACAATGTTCATGATTCCATAGCACTGAGCCAAATCAGTTCCAAGTGGTGCCAAACTGCATTAATTCTACAGTGTAGATGCACCTTTAATTCAATTTAATGGGAAGTGTGTACATCTATATACATATTTCGCACTGTATTTGCATGCAGCTTTCTTGGGTCTCGCCTCTCCGGCAATCCATCATTTCTGCCAAGAGTAAAACCAAAGCCTCGTCTGAGTTTCCCATCGGGGGAAAACGCCAGCCGTTTAATCATTTGCAGCCGAGGCCGTTCATCAGGCTCGTTAATATTTCATATTACATTAATTAAGCCGAGCAGGGTGAATAAAAGAACCGTCAAGGCTTTCCAGCGCTGAATTATTATCTTAATGCCCGTGTCTGGCCCATGGCGCTATAATTGGGAGCGCGAGCTCCCTTCGCTGCCGGCAATGGCACTCTATTAGGGGACTCCCAGAATCCACATAATTAACCAGGCTGGGAGGAAGAGGAGGAGGAAGAGAAGGGGCAAAGTGGAATAGGGGAGATGCAGAGGAATGGGGAGGCGGCGGGGGGACTGGGACAAGCAAGGTGAGACTGATAGGGTTGGAAGGGACTCCCAAAGGCCATCCAGTTGAACCCTGCACACCATTGCAATGACGTTTTAGTTTCCACTATTGTTGGAGTTCAGCTTGTGCTTGTATTTAAGGATCAGGGTCCTTTGGATGTTGGGAATGATGACAATGAGGTTCATGTAGGTAATGGTCTTTCCAATGATGAGGTGGCTGTTGATGCAGAGAATGGTCAGGAGATCCCTGTTCAAAGTGTATTTTCTGATGAGAATGTTCCTGAAGGGTTTGGGGATGATGTTGTGCTCCTTGAATTGCTACCAGAGAAGTCCCATGATTTGGAGCCTGATAATAGCTCGACACCTGGGCCAGCTGCAGAAATTAATGAGCCTGCAGATAGACTGGATGTTATTAGTCGAAATAGGAAAGCAAACCAGTCGCTTAGGCGTTCTGCCAGGCTCAAAGAAAGAATGATAAAGGATTCAAGGCTAAAACAAAACCCATTTCTGGCCGCTTGGGACATAGCGTAATTAGGAGTTCCCAAGTCCCAAGTACAGGATCTGTAGCCAGATGAAGCATCATTTGGAATCAAGTCAAGACATCTTTCCTGTTCTTTGGAAGCCTTGCTTTGGACAGATTCATGTGTTAAGTGCCTTTGATTCATGTTTCCAATTCTTGAATTTTGCTATAGAAGTTTCTGCCTTTGTTTTTCATGAAATTTGATGGACTAATTTCCTGGATTATTTGTTCCGGCTTATCTTCCTACCTAATTGAATTTACCTCTAACATTCCATTTTCCATTCTTGAGTTCGGAGTAGAGCAACTGCTTTGGGAGACAACTGCTTTCTGGACAACATGGCCGGTCCAGTGGAGTTGACGGCGGAGGACCATCGCTTCAATGCTGGTGTTCTTTGCTTCTTCCAGCACGCTGACGTTTGTCCGCCTGTCTTCCCAAGAGATTTGCAGGATTTTCTGGAGGCAGCGCTGATGGAATCGTTCCAGGATCTCTAAAACTAGCACGGTGTGAATAGGCCTCTGAGGTCTGTCTACAGTGTAGAATAAATGAACTTTGGCACCACATTAACTGCCATGGCTCAGTGCTGTGGAATGATGTCATTTGGTGGATGAAAAGACTAAAGACCTTGTGAAACTACGACTCCAAGGGTTCAGTAGCATTGAGCCATAGCAGTTACGTCAAACTGCATTCATTCCACAGTGTAGATGTTCAACCAACTTCTCAAAGTCCCACTGCCATTTTCAGCCAAGGAATTGAACTAGCAGGTAAGGTTTTTTTTTAAAGGAACAGGAAACAGCATAAAACCAATCAGCAACACAAGTTATCATTGAAAAAATCATTCTAGCTATGAGTATGGGTCACTTGTTCAAGGTATTGTTCCAAATTCTGCAACTCACCTGCACCCCAGGTAACTTTTCCAGGTGGGAAGCCGCTTCCTTTTCTGCGAGAAGCAAGATGGTGTGAATGGAGCCAGGCAAGGCTTTCTGCAACAGAGAGAGAGAGAGAGAGACAGAGAGAGAAATTGCGGGGTGATTGGGACAGGGAGCCATTATGTACCCTGACAGCTTCAGTTCTGACCCTCCAAAAAGATTAGTGCAGCTTGAAAATGTTGCTTTTTGACCATAACTCCCAGCGTACGGAGTAAAAGTTTTGAAGATTGTTGTTTCCAAAGATTAATTGGTTGAGACTCATTGAGATAATCATTGAAAAAACAATGAAAATGTGCTCTAGCAGGATGTTCCCTCCTGCAAAAACAAAGTTTTGGCAGTTTAATAAACCTTTTCCATGTTTTATGTTAGAACCAATTGTTGTTTGTTGTTCATTCGTTCAGTCGCCTCCGACTCTTCGTGACTTCATGGACCAGCCCACGCCAGAGGTCCCTGTTGGTTGTCACCACCCCCAGCTCCTTCAAGGTCAATCCAGTCACTTCAAGGACGACATCCATCCATCTTGCCCTTGGTCTGCCCCTCTTCCTTTTGCCTTCCATTTCCCCCAGCATCATTTCTTCTCTAGGCTTTGCTGTCTCCTCATGATGTGGCCAAAGGACTTCAACTTTGTCTCTAGTATTCTTCCCTCCAGTGAGCAGCCGGGCTTTATTTCCTGGAGGATGGACTGGTTGGATCTTCTCGCAGTCCAAGGCACTCTCAGAACTTTCCTCCAACACCACAGCTCAAAAGCATCGATCTTCCTTCGCTCAGCCTAAGGTCCAGCTCTCACATCCGTAGGTTACTACAGGGAATACCATGGCTTTGACTAGGCAATGGATCTTTGTTGCCAGTCTGATGTCTCTACTCTTTACTATTTTATCGAGACTGGAAATTGCTCTCCTCCCAAGAAGGAAGCGTCTTCTGATTTCCTGGCCACAGTCTGCATCTGCAGTCATCTTTGCACCTAGAAATACAAAGTCTGTCACGGCCTCCACGGTTTCTCCCTCTATTTTCCAGTTGTCAATCATTCTTGTTGCCATAATCTTGGTTTTTTTGATGTTTAGCTGCAACCCGGCTTTTGCGCTTTCTTCTTTCACCTTGATTAGAAGGCTCCTCAGCTCCTCCTCGCTTTCGGCCATCAGAGTGGTGTCATCTGCATATCTGAGGTTGTTGATGTTTCTTCCAGCAATTTTCACCCCAGCTTTGCATTCATCCAGCCCCGCACATCGCATGATGTGTTCTGCATACAAGTTAAAAAGGTTGGGTGAGAGGATGCAGCCCCAATCTTGAACCAGTCTGTTGTTCCGTGGTCAGTTCTGACTGTTGCTACTTGGTCCTTGTACAGATTCCTCAGGAGAGAGACAAGGTGGCTTGGGATGCCCATCCCACCAAGAACTTGCCACAATTTATTATGATCCACACAGTCAAAGGCTTTAGAATAGTCAATGAAGAAGAAATAGATGTTTTTCTGAAACTCCCTGCCTTTCTCCATTATCCAGCGGATATTGGCAATCTGGTCTCTCGTTCCTCTGCCTTTTCTAAACCCAGCTTGAACATCTGGCAACTCTCGCTCCATGTATTGCTGGAGTCTTCCTTGCAGGATCTTGAGCATTACCTTACTGGCATGAGAAATAAGGGCCACTGTACGGAAGTTGGAGCAGTCTTTTGCATTTCCCTTTTTTGGTATGGGGATATAAGTTGATATGAAATGACATTTAGAATCCAGGAACAAAAAAAATCGTGTTACGTAGTGCAATCTGGGTTCAGAAACCATATTATATGGCAGTGTAGATCCAGCCTCAATAAAGGGTCATATCCTTTATTGTAGTAGCCTCTTGGGATGTTTTGACTCGTAATTGTAGGTTATAACTCTGAAACATGCAAAGATTCCCTCTTCCTTCTTCCCATTCACCTGAGTTACCTGAAAAGCCGCCAAGGCTGCAGAGAGAGATGGGAGAAGGGGGTCCTTCCTGGCATCGATTACCACCGTCAGAGCTGCTTCGCTTGACCACTTCCTGTCGGAGGGAAGAAGAGGTTGACCAAAGCAATGGCAAGGAAGGGGTGTCTGCTTTTCATGCAATGGGGAGGATACACAAAGGAAGGGTCAAGGAAAAGAGTTTGGCTGGATGCTGGTAAATGAAGTGATCTATAGTTTCCAAATGGTGACCTCCATGAACTTCTGCAAACTGGATAGCAAGTGACCCAGAAGCAAGTAAATACAACAAAGACCTTTCACAGCAAAAACATGCTTCAACCCGTCTATCAGCAGAGTCCAACTGCCAGCTCCTCACCTTATCTACACACTGTTTGGTAAACTCAAGGATTCAGGTTTTCATCCAAACTATTCAGGGGCTTTAATCTTCACAGTTGCATTGTATACAAATGTACAAACAGGATACTCAGATCCACTTTCCTTATACTAGCAAATAATTAGAGTCACCAGCAGAGGCGACCCTAGGTAATTTTCAACGGTAAGCAAACTATTTGGGGCCCCCCCCCCCAACCAATCATTGATATATATTTTCTGTTCGTCATGGGAGTTCTGTGTGCCATATTTGGTTCAATTCCATCATTGGTGGAGTTCAGAATGCTCTTTGATTGTAGGTGAACTATACATCCCAGTAACTACACTTGCCGCACTTGCTCCCTTGCCTGGCCCGCTTTGGGTCCGGAGGCATGCCTGAAGACCCCGGCATGTGCACCAAAAGTCACCTCTTCTCCTGACTTTCTCCTCAGCCATTGGGACTAAGAGAGAGAGAGAGAGAGAGAGGTGGAGATGCCCACCTTTCCTGAAGGTAGGCGCAAAAACAAAGGAGGGAGCGGAGGTGGGAGATACCTCCAGCCGGAGGGGCTCTCTCTCTCTCTCTCTTGGTCCCAATGGCTGAAGAGAAAGTCAGGAGAAGAGGTGACTTTTGGTGCACACGCTGGGGTCTTCAGACACGCCTCCGGACCCGAAGCGGGCCAGGCGTGGCGGCTCCGCCCCTTGGCCCACCCACGGATTGGGGAGAGGAGAGGAGGCGGGTGGAGCGCCGGGGATCGGGAAAGGGAGCCGGTCATGGGGAAGGGATCGAACGCGGAGAACGATTGAGCGCCGGCTCTGCTCGCGCACCCGGTGGCTGGGTGGAGCAGGAAGGAGAGGGGCTAGGTGAGGCTCAAGGGCCCGGCCCCTTTGGGAAGAGGATCACCCGGCAGCAAGGCAAGAAAGCCTAGGCTCCCCCCGGACTGCTAGGGCTGTTGTGAGCTGAGGGGGGGACGCTCCTGAAGTGGCGGTTGAGAGGCATTTACAGAGGCGCCTCTGCGCCCCTGGCAAAAAAAAGTGTTCTGCGACCACTTAGTTCGCATAATGGATGAGCCGCCCCTGCCAGATAGTCCCATACAACATAGGCAGATACTCACACCAAGTCACACAAGAGAGAGAAAGGTGGATTCTTTCATCCTCTTTATGTAACCACCTGCTGATGGGTCATCAGTAAGGGACACTGGCTGTTGCAAATCCTTTGCAATACACCTCACATGGTTATGGCTCAGTCGTTACCACACCTACTTAAGTATTGCATCATGACATTCACAGACATTACCCAGGTGCTATCAATATACCAAATGCTCATTAAACAGTATTTGCGCTATGACTAGAAATGCTTTGCCATTTCAATCTAACAGGACTTGGTAGAGAGGCCTGGGCAGATGGAACCTCCTTCCTTGGAAAAAGTAAAAGTTGATTCAATTAAACTAGTAAGAATTGCAAAAATGAGAAATAGAGCAGCAAAGAAGGAGGGGTGGAAAGAGAAGCAGGAGGACAAAAGGAGAAGAAAAGGGAAAGGACAAAGAAGAGGAAGGAGATGGGGAAGAAGAATTAAAAGAGGAGGAAGAGGAAATGAGTACATGAATAGAGAAGGAGATGAGGGGAAATAAAGAGAAAAAAAAGGGATAGAAGACGGAAAAGAGAAAGGAGAAGAGGAGGAAGAAGTAGGAAGAAAAAAGGAGAAGAGGAAAAGGAGGAGGGATAAAGAGGATGAAGGAGATGGGAAACAAAAGGAAGAGGAGAGCTGTAAATAAAAGGAGAAGGAGAGGAGGAATAGGAATATGAAGGAGAGAAAAGGGAGATGAAAGAGATGATGAAGAAGAGAGAACAGGAGGAAAAGGAGTAGAAGAGGAACAAGAAGAGTGAGAACAGAACAAAAGCAGAATAAACAAAAAGAACATCCGTAGGGATACCAAGGTGCTTGTCTATAAAGCTATTGTCCTCCCAACCCTGCTCTATGACTGCGAAACGTGGACTGTCTACAGACGTCACATGCAACTCCTGGAACAATTCCATCAGCGCTGCCTCCGGAAAATCCTGCAAATCTCTTGGGAAGAACTTAAGAATAGAAAATGGAATGTTGGTGGACAGGAAAAGAGATTGAAAGATGGCCTCAAAGCCAACCTTAAAAACTCTGGCATAGACACTGAGAACTGGGAAGCCCTGGCCCTTGAGCGCTCTAGATGGAGGTCAGCTGTGACCAGCAGTGCTGCAGAATTCGAGGAGGCATGCGTGGAGAGTGAAAGAGAGAAACGTGCCAGGAGGAAGGCGCGTCAAGCCAACCCCGACCGGGACCGCCTTCCACCTGGAAGCCAATGCCTTCATTGTGGGAGAAGATGCGGGTCAAGAATAGGGCTCCACAGCCACATACGAAACCACAAAAATAGTCATCAAGGAAGACCATCTTACTCGTCCAACGAGGGATCAAGTAAGTAAGTAAGTAAGTAAACAAAAAGAAAGAATTGCCTTCCAACCCTTCCTTTGGTAGTTCCTTCGTTTCTCTTCAAAATATAATCCAAGTATTCCACAAGGGCCTTTTTCTTGTTTGTGGAGATGTATAATAAACCTCAGAAATACTGGAACAAAATGCATCAGATAACAGAGGAAGTTTGGAAATTCACTTGCAGAAAAGTCCAGAATTTTACATGTTGGGAAGAATGGAGCTTCACCTGGGGCATTACAGGGAAATACCTCACAACCTCTGAGGATATTTGCCACAGATGCAGGTGAAACATCAGGAGGGAATGCTTCTAGAACATGGCTATACAGCCCAAAAAACCTACAGCAACCCAACTACAGGGAAATACTTTAGTATATGACTACAACAGTGAAAATTATTTATGCACAAAGATGGAAAGGTTGTACCAAGAAGAGAAGACTGGATGGTGAAAAGGTATGAATGAGTAGAAGCACTTTGACTCAATACTATGGAATCCCAGGAGTTGTAGTTTGGTGAGGCACCAGCACTCTTTGGCAAAGAAGGCTCCAGATCTTGTGAAACTACAACTCCCGGGACTCCATAGCACAGAGCCATGACAGTTCAAGTGGGGTCAAACTCCATCCATGCTACAACGTAGACACACTCCAAAACAAAGGAGAAGCTTCACTCCAAACCCTGGAATGACCTCAGCCATGGACAACGCGCCAAAAATCCAGATGTTTCCTTTCAAGTGAAGATTCGTCCAAAATGGTTCCAACAGAGTCCCTGGCAGTAAGTGGATATTCTATATATGGTGTCTTTTAATGCACTGACTCTGCCAAATCAATCATTTCTAAAGTCATAGTTTTGGCTCTGCTGTTTGCTGGAAAGGGAGATGTGCATTGCAAGGCTTTGTTGACTTGCAATGGGATATTCTTGTTGTTATTGCATTGGTTTAGTGTTTTTTAGTTGAAATGTTTTAATACTTGTACAAGTTGAATTCTATTTTGATATTAACCTGTTGCATGCTTCTAAATGTGTGCGTGTGCGTGTATATGCAGATGTGTGTTTATAAACATACATACATACATACATACATAACATACATATTAGTTTAGATACCTGGTGATTGTGTTTTGTAATGCTATTTATTTATTGCACCGGGACTGTGGAGCTGCATTAGATCAATACTGACCGAAAGTCATGAGTTCGAAGCTAGCCTGGGTCAGAGTGAGCTTCCAACCATTGTGTAGCTCGCTGTCGATCTTTGCAACCCAAAAGACAGTTGCATCGGTCAAGTAGGAAATTTAGGTACCTCTTATGTGGGGAGGCTAATTTAATTAATTTGTGATGCCATAAAAATCTCCAGCAAGCATGCAAAGAATGAGGAAGTACTCCATCAGTGTCACAAATAGACGGTGACGCAACAGCTCCCCCGGTGGCCAGAATTCAAGCATACCCTCATGAAACTGGAAAGTTAAATAACCTCTGTATTGTTGAAGGCTTTCATGGCTGGAATCACTAGGTTCTTGTGGGTTTTTTCGGGCTATATGGCCATGTTCTAGAGGCATTTTCTCCTGACATTTCGCCTGCATCTATGGCAAGCATCCTCAGAGGTAGTGAGGTCTGTTGGAAATAGGAAAAAGGGTTTATATATCTGTGGAATGACCAGGGTGGGACAAAGGACTCTTGTCTGCTGGAGCTAGGTGTGAATGTTTCAACTGACCACCTTGATTAGCATTTGATGGCCTGGCAGTGCCTGGAGCAATCTTTTGTTGAGAGGTGATTTGTGCCTGATTGTTTCCTCTCTGTTGTTTTGCTGTTGCAATTTTAGAGTTTTTTAATACTGGTAGCCAGATTTAGTTCATTTTCATGGTTTCCTCCTTTCCTATGTTTTTTGTGATATAACCAATTAGGAAATGACATTTGTAACCCAGGAACCACAATTGTGTTACATAGTGTATTGCTTTATGTTTTTTTTACCACTTTACACATAAAGTATTTGCGCTGCTACAATCATATAATGCAAGAACGTGGGATTTATATTTGTGTGTTTGCTCATTTGGAAGTCTTTTTAAAGTCGGATCTAACATTGGGTTGTTGTAGGTTTTTTCGGGCTATATGGCCATGGTCTAGAGGCATTCTCTCCTGACGTTTCGCCTGCATCTATGGCAAGCATCCTCAGAGGTAGTGAGGTCCGTTGGAACTAGGAAAAAGGGTTTATATATCTGTGGAATGACCAGGGTGGGACAAAGGACTCTTGTCTGCTGGAGCTAGGTGTGAATGTTTCAACTGATCTAACATTCTTCTGGTTTTGGAGATCGGTTTGTGACTCACCTGGACAAGGAGAAAAGGTAGAGGAGGAGGCGCAGCACTTCCGCGGCTGAGCACCAAGAGGCGCTCCACTCTGGGCCACTCCTGATGTGGATCATGGGCCTTCCCGCCTTATCGGTGCTCCCTGCAGCCCAGAAAGGAAAGAGGAGACAGCTTTAGCCAATAGGGATGTGCAATTTTTTGTTTTTAAATCTTAAGTCGTATCTAAGTTTTGTAAATACAACAGATATTAAGAAACACAGGAGGGCGCCCATGCAAAAACTCAAGAATGAAAACTCACTCAATACTTTTTCATTTGAATTTTGCAATGCTTGGAAGTCAGTTTCATTTTCAGCGCAAGCGAAGCAAAGCCAAAAAGGCTGCCATTCCTCTTTAAATTAAGAAGAGATGGGCTGCGTCTAGGACTGTGTGATGTATCGGTAAATAATGCATGCAGATCCCAGTAAGGTGGCCTTTTGCAATTATTACTATCATCATCATCATCATCATCATCATCATCATCATCATCATCATCATCATTATTATTGTATTTGCAATACTTGGAGAGGATGGGCTCTTGCATCCCGAGGGAATTTTCAGGCCTGTATTGAAATGAATGGGAATTCCACAATTGGTATCATTGTATTGGTTTCTTTCATACTTTGGTGGCAAGGTTGGGTTTCCCATTCTTCAAGAGTTGGTGTGCTATCTGATCTGCCTTTATGTTGGCATGGGTATTAGTTTGTGAGGGGTCATTACTCAACCGTCTTAGCAGCCTCTGTGCCTTCTGGTTGGAGCATTGCAGCGCACCCAAATACCTGGGAGTCACTCTGGACCATGCCCTAACCTACAAGAAGCACTGCCTGAACATCAAGCAAAAAGTGGGTGCTAGAAACAATATCATTCGAAAGCTGACTGGCACAACCTGGGGATCACAACCAGACACAGTGAAGACATCTGCCCTTGCGCTGTGCTACTCTGCTGCTGAGTATGCATGCCCAGTGTGGAACACATCTCACCACACTAAAACAGTGGATGTGGCTCTTAATGAGACATGCCGCATTATCACGGGGTGTCTGCGCCCTACACCACTGGAGAAATTACACTGCTTAGCCGGTATTGCACCACCTGACATCCGCCGGGAAGTAGCAGCCAATAGTGAAAGGACCAAGGCAGAGACATCTCCAGCTCATCCCTTGTTTGGGTATCAGCCAGCATGTCAACAACTTAAATCTAGACATAGTTTTCTAAGATCTACAGAGACACTCGCTGGAACACCTCAGCAAGCGAGAGTCCAAAAGTGGCAGGCTCAAACCCAGAACCTCAACCAATGGCTGATACCAAATGAGAAACTCCCCCTGGGCACACAGAGGACTGGGCGACTTGGAAGGTGCTGAACAGACTGCACTCTGGCACCACGAGATGCAGAGCCAACCTCAAGAAATGGGGCCACAAAGTTGAATCCACGACATGCGAGTGTGGAGAAGAGCAAACCACTGACCACCTGCTGCAATGCAACCTGAGCCCTGCCACATGCACAATGGAGGACCTTCTTGCGGCAACACCAGAGGCACTCCAAGTGGCCAGATACTGGTCAAAGGACATCTAATCAACTACCAAACTCACAAATTTTGTATTTTGTCTGTTTGTTTGCTTTGTTCTGTTAGAAATGTAATACAATTTACTGGTTGCCCTGACACGACAAAAAATATATATATATTACAAAGTCACAGGTTGAAAAGGCCATTTAGTCATAGAATCATAGAATCGCAGAGTTGGAAGAGACCTCCTGGGCCATCATCCAGTCCAACCCCCTGCCAAGAAGCAGGAATATTGCATTCAAAGCACCCCTGACAGATGGCCATCCAGCCTGTGTTTAAAAGCTTCCAAAGAAGGAGCCTCCACCACACTCCCTCCGGGGCAGAGAGTTCCACTGCTGAACGGCTCTCACAGTCAGGAAGTTCTTCCTCATGTTCAGATGGAATCCTCTCTTGTAGTTTGAAGCCATTGTTCTGCATCCTAGTCTCCAGGGAAGGAGAAAACAAGCTTGCTCCCTCCTTCCTGACTTCCTCTCACATATTTATACATGGCTATCATATCTCCTCTCAGCCTTCTCTTCTTCAGGCTAGTCAACCTCTTTCCAGTATGGAAAGGTAAGGTGGCCATCCAATCACTGTTCAAAATCCTCCAATGTTGAAACCTCTTCTAATTAAAAAAAAACCTCCATTAGTGTCTTAGCACACATCTACACTGTAGAATTAATGCAGTTTGACGCCACCTGGGAGTTCCAGTTTTACAAGGTCTTGAGCTTTCCCTGTCAAACTACAGTTCCCAGGATCCAACAGTCATGGGAGTTAAAGTGGAATCTAACTACATTCATTCTGCAGTGTAGATGCACTCTAGATCTCCAGATATTAATCTCTGCTCACAATACCTGGCAGACACACCAGTCCAGAAGACAAAAGCTCCGGATTCAGCGACTCCCAGCGGACAGGATCCCAAGGGCCAGGTCCTGGAGGCTGCAGCTCTTTGAGCAAGGAGTCAATGCTAGAAACACTGGCTGTGTTGCCTTCTATCCTTTTTGGTGATGGTGGCTCTTGAAATATGGCATCAGTCTGATTGGTACCTGGAGAGAGAGGGAAAATTGAAAAGTGAGAGAAGGTATGGTGAGGCTATCTATGTCAGGATGGGAATGGAATGTAGCCAGTAGAGAGGGATGGGATGGGGGGGTGTTCAAATCTACATTTATGTTGCACTCCAGACCAGGAAAAGCCCTCTGACTTTAAACACCACATAGTTGAGTAGAAATCTTCAATCTGTTTATTGAAGATAATTAAAAGCAGTAAAGTAAAAAGCACTTTAAAACAGTGTTTCTCAACCTGGGGGTCAGGACCTCTGTGGGGGTCGCAAGGGAGTATCAGGGGGGTCACCAAAGAGCATCAGAAAACATAGTATTTTCTGTTGGTCATGGGGGTTCTGTGTGGGAAGTTTGGTCCAATTCTATCGTTGATGGGGTTCAGGGTGTTATTTCATTGTGGGTGAACTATAAATCCCAGCAACTACAACTCCCAAATGTCAAGGTGTATTTTCCCCAAACTCCACCAGCGTTCACATTTGGGCATATTGAGTATTTGTGCCAAGTTGGGCCAGATCCATCATTGTTTGAGTCCACAGTGCTCTCTGGATGTAGGTGGATGACAACTCCAAAAACTCAAGGTCAATGTCCACCAGACCCTCCCAGTTTGTGCCAAGTTTGGTTCAATTCCATCATTGGTGATGTTCAGAATGCTCTTTGGCTGTAGGTGAACTTTAAATCCCAGCAACTACAACTCCCAAATGACAAAATCAATCCCCACAACCCCACCAGTAATGAAATTTGGGCGTATTGGACATTTGTGCCAAATTTGGTCCAGTGAATAAAAATATATCCTGCAGATCAGATATTTACATTACGATTCTTCACAGTAGCAAAATTACAGTTATGAAGTAGCAACAAAAATAATGTTATGGTTGGGGGTCACCACAACATGAGGAACTGCACTAAGGGGTCACGGCATTAGGAAGGTTGAGAACCATTGCTTTAAAAGAATAGGTAAATCCAATTAGGTAGGAAGATAAGACGGAACAAAACAGTCCAGGGAATTAGTCCATCAAAGTCCATGAAAAACCAAGGCAGAAAGTTCTAAAACAAAATCCAAGAAACTAGGAAACGTGAATCCAAGTGAATACAAAATCATAGAATCCAAGAATCAAAACCATGAAACAAAGGCACTTTAAACATGAATCTTTTCCAAGCAAAGCTTCCAAGAAACAGGAATGAGATTCCAAACGATGCTTTATCTGACTACAGATCCCGTACTTGGGAATTTTATCTCCTCGTTAAGCTATGTCCCAAGCACTCAGAAATTGGTTTTACTTTAGCTTTGACTCTCTTATTTTTCTTTCTCTGAGCCTGGCAAAATGCTGAAGCCACTGCTTTGCTTTTCTGCTTTGACAAAGCCAATGGGATCTTGGCCTGCATCAAGAGGAGCCTAGTGTCTAGATCTAGGGAAGTCCTGCTCCCCATGCTCTATTCGCTTTGGTTAGACCACACCTGGAATATTGTGTCCAATTCTGGGCACCAAAATTCAAGAGAGATATTGACAAGCTGGAATGTGTCCAGAGGAGGGCGACTAAAATGATCAAGGGTCTGGAGAACAAGCCCTATGAGGAGCGGCTTAAGGAGCTGGGCATGTTTAGCTTGAAGAAGAGAAGGCTGAGAGGAGATATGATGAGGGCCATGTATAAATATGTGAGAGGAAGCCACAGGGAGGAGGAGGGAGCAAGCTTGTTTTCTGCTTCCTTGGAGACTAGGACGCAAGGAACAATGGCTTCAAACTACAAGAGAGGAGATTCCATCTGAACATGAGGAAGAACTTCCTGACTGTGAGAGCCGTTCAGCAGTGGAACTCTCTGCCCCGGAGTGTGGTGGAGGCTCCTCTTTTTGGAAGCTTTTAAGCAGAGGCTGGATAGCCATCTGTTGGGGGTGCTTTGAATGCAATTTTCCTGCTTCTTGGCAAGGGGTTGGACTGGATGGCCCATGAGGTCTCTTCCAACTCTTTGATTCTATGATTCTAATCACCTCCCGTTTATCTATTTGCTCATTAATTTCTGCAGCTGGGCCAGGTGCCGAGCTGTTCTCAAGCTCCAAATCATGGGAATTCTCTGGTAGCAATTCAGTGAGCGCATCATCATCCCCACACCCTTCAGGGACATTCTCATGAGAAACTACACTTTGAACAGGGATCTCCTGGTCATTCTCTGCATCAATATCTTTGACCAGACCATTACCTTCTTGAGACTCATTGTCATTACTCTTCACATGTAAAGCACACTGGCCCTTAAAACACAATAATAGGCTGAGCTCCAACAGGTTGGTGGGAAACCTTTAGAATTGTCTTTCTTATGTCTGTGGTGAGATGGAATACAACTATATCCAAAGATTGTCTTTTGTTAGCGTGCTTTTGTTCTAAGAGCTTCCAGGTTCTGACATTAAGAAGTTCTCCTTTTATGCTTGTCCCGTACTGTCTGTATTTGTACGGTGAGAGCACTATGTCTATGGAGGGGTCAGAGGACCTGCTAGAAACCGAGAGCGCAATGGTCCCAGGAATGAGCACCCCAGTGGCATTGGCTACAGCACTCGAACTGGATCTAACTGGCGTGGATAGCGAGGCTGACAGTGATATTCTGATGACAGGGATGCCCCTGAACTCTGCCCAAATGTCAGTGGGGAGAGGGGTGATGGTGCAGGGAAAAACACTCCCCCCAGGCATCGGGAGAAGGAGAGCAGGGAAAGAGACTACTTTGAGTCTCATTCAAGAGAAGAAAGCAGGATATTATAATTTGTGCTGGCATGGTTGTGCCAGGAGATTTGAATTTCTTTTCTTGCACTGTTAGTTTGCATGAATCTATTCAAGCTATGCTTTTTTGCAAATGGGTAGCTTTCCCAGGTTGCACTCATAGGGCCAACAATCTATCAATCTATTGTCGAAGGCTTTCATGGCTGGAATCACTAGGTTGTTGTAGGTTTTTTGGGCTATATGGAACACACCTCTGAGGATGCTTGCCATAGATGCAGGCGAAACGTCAGGAGAAATGCCTCTAGAACATGGCTCTATAGCCCGAAAAAACCCACAAGAACCTAATCTATCAATCATCATTAGAGCCTTTAGATCCACCCCATTCCCCAGATTTTGGAGGGAAAGGGGGACTTTCAGTTCAGTCTCACAGTTTGGAGCCCTACAGTAGAACATGTGGGCTTTTCTCTACCCCACCTGTAAAAAGCTTCGCTTCTTACAGCTCTGCTGGGGTCAAAGAAATAGATTGCATGAATCTATTCAAGCTATGCTTTTTTGCAAATGGGTACACCCAGCTTTTGCTGGGAAAAATGAAGACCTCTACAGCTTTGCTGGAGAGTAAAGTTACAGTTCCATAACCTTTTGTGAAGAAACTAAAAGGACACCAGCTTGGCAGATCTGCAGCAACCATTGTCTGGTAAGGGACCACTTGGGCTATCCATAATGCGGCTTGGAGCCGGGTGTTGGGGCCTCATGCCAGCAGGGTTAAGAAAGATTGCCCAAGGAGGGGTTGGAAGGTTTCCCTAAAGAAGATAGGAACAGTTTATCCAGCAGTTGCCTGTCCCTTGTCGGCAGATCGAGAAAGCTATCAGTTTTTCAAGATTATATGGCATTTTATTCTTTTGTTCAAAGATTTAAGCCTTAATAAAGAACTTTGTTGGACTTATTTTGAGCCTCTACAGATCTTTGTTTTGGGAAACCTATGGGACCCTTTAGCTGAGGCACCCCGGCGTCCCATTGGGCATATAGAAAGCACGTCCTATAAACAGACATTATCACAGGCCCAGCGCGCGACAGCACAATAATGCAATATAATCCTAGAGTTGGAAAAGATTGCATGGGCCATCCAGTCCAATCCCATTCTGCCCTGGAGGAAAAGCACCATTAAAGCCCTCACAACAGATGGCCATCCAAACTCTGCTTAAAAGTCTCCAAAGAAGGAGCATCCACCAGACTCTGAGGTGGAGAGTTCCACTGTTGAACAGCTCTTCTTACAGTCAAGGAGTTCTTCCTCATGTTAAGGTTGATATAATATAATATAATATAATATAATATAATATGTAATATAAGAATATATAAAAACAACATCAATAATAATTCTTAAATGTATAGTTAAGGGATTACCTTTCCCTGAAGAAGCCGGCTTTCCTCGGGCTGCTTTCGGAGAGCAAACATTCCTTTTCCGAGGCCCTTCCTGCCCCTTCCCAACTTTCTCCGGAGAAGTTGGAGGAGAAGGAAGAACAGGATGCCGGTATCCTTTTAAGAATGAGAATCGATTGCCTGCTGCAGGACCTTCTGGAGGGGACTTCAGGACTTTCAAGGGCTTTTGTTTGGGAACCTCCTCAACTTTGCTTTCCTTATTTGGACGCTCCAAGGAGATTCTGGAAATCAACTCTCTGGGAGACATAGTGTCCACAATCTCTGGAGCTTGTTGTGTTGTGTCTATCTCTTCCAAGATTGCTTCCATCAACCCTGAGCTGAAGCTGACTGGGTTCTTGAGGGCGGCCACATAGGATTCCCGATACCGGCATTTGGGCTCGTGGACTTTGGGGTCTTGGTTCAGTTTCCTCCTCAAACAAGGAGTGCAAGGACCCTCCTCTGAGTCAGGACCCTTCACACAGCTCCATATTTCCTCCACAACCCCATTCACAAGTCCTTTTTCCATCCCAGGTGATTCTTCTCCAGTAACCTCTTGGTGAGCTCTAGATGCCGTTGACTTGGCCGGAGAGGAGGAATCTGGCTTCTTCTCTTCCGAAAAGCCTAAGAGGTTGACGTACTCCCCTTCCAAGTTCTCACTTATGATATCGCAAAGACTCGGCAGGAGGAATACATTTGATTGTTTCCATGTTCCTTGCTCCACCTTGATAAGGCCTGGATACTTGCCTTGAGTTGACCTCGGGCTTCGGTCACTGCCACCTTTCAGAGAGGAATAGGTCTCCAAGTAGTCTGAGGTGACCTCTTGTTCTTTGCTTTTGGGCAATTGGACGAATTCTGGTGTCACAATTTTGCTCCAGGGCACAGGAACGATGCCATTTCCGGTGGCCACCATGCAAGTATGGAGTGCTGGCTGGTCCAAGTCCTGGTTGACCTCCTCCAGCCATTCCTGGGTGAAGAGCAAAGGGCAGGAGGCTTCCGGGATGGGGATTTTCTGCACCGAGGTCAGGTCCCTGGAGAGACATTTCAGGGAAAGGCAGGCCGATTGATCCCCGCAGGGCTCTGCTTGGAGGTAGAAGTCTCCGGGGCGCAAGAGGAGCGGGTTCAAGGGGCCCAAATGGACCACCACTTTCTCATGGAGGCAGAGCGGCCAGCCTTCGTGGAGGAACACGCGGTTGATGTAAGGGGCCTGGTGGGCAGAGAAAGAAAACAAACATCAGTGCTCAAAAGCAACTCACTCCTAGCATCATAGAGAAATAAGACACCACAAAGGCCATCCAGTCAACTGGATCGGGGTAAAGGGTGGTAACCCGTGTTGGAAGGGGTTACACTCCCCCTGAAGTTACAGGTCCGCAATTTGGGAGTCCTCTTGGATTCAACACTTACGCTTGAGGCTCAGGCGTCAGCAGTGTCCGGGAGGGCTTTTGCTGATCTGGCCGGGGTGGTCCATGCCTTGGTCACCTCTAGATTGGACTACTGTAATGCTCTCTACGTGGGGCTGCCCTTGAAAACGGCTCAGAAATTTCAGCTAGTCCAGCGGCCAGGATGTTAACTGGTGCTCCTTACAGAGAGAGGTCAACCCTCCTGTTCAAGGAGCTCCATTAGCTGCCGTTCATTTTCCGGTCCCAATTCAAGGTGCAGGTGCTCACCTACAAAGCCCTAAAAAGTTTGGGACCTGCCTACCTGCGTGACCGTATCTCCGTTTATGAACCCACGCGCTCCCTTCGTTCATCCGGAGAGACCCAGCTCATGATCCCACCTGCGTCGCAAGCACGGTTGGTGGGGATGAGGGACAGGGCCTTCTCTGTGGTAGCCCCCTGACTCTGGAACACCCTCCCCAAGGACATCAGACAAGCCCCTATGTTGGCAGTCTTTAGGAAGAGCTTGAAGACCTGGCTATTCCAGTGTGCCTTTCCAGAATAGGAAACTCTAGAAGCACTTTATTAGAGATTTAAGATTGTCCGCACACTGCACTTACCCAAAAATCCTTATATTTCACTTGGCATACTCAGCACTTTTTAATCTGTACCCATTACACTTGGCCTGGTCTAGTTTTGTTGTGCTATGGTGTACTGTTTTTACTGTTTACTGTTATTGCTTTAATGTTTTGATTTGCTTTATGGTTTATGTGTATTTGTTATATTGTTGTTTTATTGAGGCCTTGGCCTTTGTAAGCCGCATCGAGTCCTTCGGGAGATGCTAGCGGGGTACAAATAAAGTTAATAATAATAATAATAACCCCATTCTGCCATGTAGGAAGACACAACCCAACCCCTCCTGAGTGATGGCCATTCAGCCTCTCTGTCTATAAGATCTTGGAAGGACTTGGAATGTAGACACAGCTCACAATGTACAGTGTTCCCTCACTTATCGCGGGTGTTATGTTCCAGGACCACCTGCGAAAAGTGAAAATCCACAAAGTAGGGACATATATAATATATATATATATATATATATTTCAATCTGAGGGTGAGGCAGAAGTGAGGAGAGATTTAAAGGCACTGCATGTCATGTATCATGTTGTGCAGTTGATGGTGGTTGGTGGCAGCAGGCATAGCAGTTGGTGATGGCAGGGTTAATATAAGTCTTAGTTCTAAAGCAGTGTTTCTCAACCTGGGGGGTTGGGACCCCTGAGGGGGTCGTGAGGGGGTGTCAGAGGGGTCGCCAAAGACCATAAGGAAACACAGTATTTTCTGATAGTCATGGGGATTCCATGTGGGAAGTTTGAGCCAATTCTATTGTCGGTGGGGTTCAGAATGGTCTTTGATTGTAATGAACTATAAATCCCAGCAGCTACAACTCCCAAATGTCAAGATCTATTTCCCCCAGACTCCACCAGTCTTCACATTTGGTTATATTGAGTATTCATGACAAGTTTGGTCCAAATCCACCATTGCATGAGTCCACAGTGCTCTCTGGGTATAGGTGAACTACAACTCCCAAACTCAAGGTCAATGCCCATCAAACCCTTCCAGTGTTTTCTGTTGGTCATGGGAGCCAAGTTTGGTTCAAATCCATCGCTGGTGCAGTTCAGAATGCTCTTTGATTATAGGTGAACTATAAATCCCAGCAACTACAACTAACAAATTCCAAAATCAATCTTCCCCCAACCCCACTAGAATTCACATTTGGGTGTATTGGGTATTTGTGCCCAGTTTGGTCCAGTGAATGAAAATGCATCCTGCATATCAGATATTTACAATATGATTTATAACAGTAGTAAAATGACTGCTATGAAGTAGCAACAAAACAATATTATGGTTGGGGGTCACCACTGTATTAAGGGGTCGTGATGTTCTGCAGTTGATGGCGCTTGGTGATGGAAAGGTTAATGTAAGTATTAGTTCTAAAGGGTTTAGTAATCTGTAAGTAAGAGTTCATGGGTGAAAGCAATTAAGGGTGGAGGTATGCAAGAGATAGGTTGCAGCTGGGTGTTTGTGGATATAAGGAGCGAGCCTTGGAAATGATCTTCGGGAGAAAAGTATTGTCATATTTTGGTGGTGGATGCTGCTGGTTTCCCCCCCAGGTCTGTTGGATTTTCGGATATCCTGACCTGTCACTTGAACCCTTGGAATCTTGGAACCTTGAATCTTTGGACTGGCTTTTGACTACGGTGTAGATTCTTGATCCCTGGACTTTGCTCATTGAACTCTCAGCGTTTGACCACTGGACTGGACCTTTTGACGATGGTGTTATCTTGAACCTGCAACAGCGTTTGCTGTCAGTTTTGTTTTATATTCTGTGGCTGAGTGCTATCTTTATGTTTTATGTTTTGGACTATTAAAGCAGCCAGAAAGTAAGTGCTGCTTTCATTAAATTGTTTAACACAAACTGGGAGGTTGTTTGGTTCATCTCTACCTGAATAAGGCAGAGCCTTATTCATGACACCGCGCATCACTTTTTGTTTTGATAGCTATAAGGAAGGGGCTATAAGACCGTGATTTACATACTGCTTTATATCTTTTCTCTCTGTCTCTTTTATGATTGGCTGCCCTTCTCCCAAGGGGGAGGGTGAAACCCCCTTCCACACTCCATCGTTGCCAGGGGGCAAAAACCCCGTGAAACAGTGAGTCCGCAAAAAGCGAACCGCGAAGTAGCGAGGGAACACTGTAGTCACTGAAAACACCCCTTTATTTTCCTCCTTGCCAGGATTCAAAAAAGCTAATTCAACTAGTCTAATTCAAACTGCTTACTATATACTCTTTGCAAACAGGTTACATTCCAACATCCCCAGCTCATCAGTTCCCATAACAACCTAGCCAGATGGGCCTTATCTCTCCAACTCTCTTCCTTGCTTCTCCCTCCCTTTCCCAGTCCTTGGCTGTGTCCATGTCAGGGTCAATTCCCACACCTGAATCAGCTTCCTGAGAGCTTCGTAACACTCAGAGAAGGAGACTCCACCAAACTCCACCATTCTGACCATCAGGAGGTTCTTCCTAATGTTTAGGAATACTCAATATGCCCAAATGTGAACACTGGTGGAGTTTGGGGAAAATAGATCTTGACATTTGGGAGTTGTAGTTACTGGGATACTTCACCTACAATCAAAGAGCATTCTGAGCTCCACCAACTATGGAATTCAACCAAACTTGGCACACAGAACTCCCATGACCAACAGAAAATACTAGAAGGGTTTGGTGGGCATTGACCTTGAGTTTTGGAGTTGTAGTTCACCTACATCCAGAGAGCACTGTGGACTCAAACAATGGTGGATCTGGACCAAGCTTGGCATGGATACTCAATATGCCCAAATGAGATCACTGGTGGAGTTTGGGGAAAGCAGACCTTGACATTTGGGTGTTGTAATTTCTGGGATTTATAGTTCACCTGCAATCAAGAGCATTCTGAACCCCACCAGTGATAGAATTGGGGCAAACTTCCCACACATACTGTGTTTTCTGATGGTCTTTGGTGACCCCTCTGACACCTCCCTCATGACCACCCCCCAGGGCTCCCGATTCCCAGGTTGAGAAATGCTGGCTTAGCCCATATTTGACTAGTTTGCTTGCAAGAAGGTCAGGGGGGACACTGGGGGTCCCTTCCAACTCTTATTGCTTGGTGATCCCAATTCCTGGGACGGGGCTTCTGGGCCATGCAAAATACGTCCTTTGCCCACCCAGTGGCACTTACGCAGGCAGCTTGGCGCACGTCTTCCAGGAAGCGTTTGGAGGGGACGAGGAAGTCCAGGAGGCAGCAGAGCCCGTCTCCGTGGTATTTGGCCTCCAGGACCCGGAAGAGCTGACCCAGGACCGTGGGAGCCGTGGCCTCGAAGGGAGGGAAGAGGCCAGAGAGTGTCGTCTGCACCGCCGCATCCAGGGACTGCGGGTCCTATCAGAGGGAAAGGCAGTCAGGATAAGGGACCATGCATTGGGTGGCAAGTTTGCATTTGGGGTACAAATATCCAGGGCAATTCAAGACAGGCAGTGTGGGGCTTGAGAGTCGGACTCTGGAGACCAGTGTTCAAATCATACTCAGCCATGGAAGCACACTTGCACAAGTCATGCTTTCCCAGACTCCTTCCATACTGCCAGGGGCGGCTCGTCCATCACGCGAAGTAAGCGGTCGCAGAACACTTTTTTTTGCCAGGGGCGCAGAGGCACCTCTGTAAATGCCCCTCGACCGCCACTTGAGGAGCGCCCCCTCAGCTCACAACAGCCCTAGCAGTCCGGGGGGAGCCTCGGCTTTCTTGCCTCGCTGCCGGGCGATCCTGTTCCCAAAGGGGCCGGGCCCTTGAGCCTCGCCTAGCCCCTCTCGTTCCTGATCCACCCGGCCACCGGGTGCGCGAGCAGAGCCGGCGCTCAATCGTTCTCCATGTTTGATCCCTTCCCCATGACCGGCTCCCTTTCCCGATCCCCCGGCGCTCCACCCGCCTCCTCTCCCCAATCCGCAAGTGGGCCAAGGGGCGGAGCCGCCGCGCCTGGCCCGCTTCGGATCCAGAGGCGTGTCTAAAGACCCCAGCGTGCGCACCAAAAGTCGCCTCTTCTCCTGACTTTCTCTTCAGCCATTGGGACCAAGAGAGAGAGAGAGAGAGCCCCTCCGGCTGGAGGTATCTTCCACCTCCGCTCCCTCCTTTGTTTTTGCGCCTACCTTCAGGAAAGGTGGGCATCTCCACCTCTCTCTCTCTCTCTTGGTCCCAATGGCTGAGGAGAAAGTCAGGAGAAGAGGTGACTTTTGGTGCACACGCCGGGGTCTTCAGGCAAACCTCCGGACCCAAAGCGGGCCAGGCAAGGGAGCAAGTGCGGCAAGTGTAGTTACTGGAATGTATAGTTCACCTACAATCAAAGAGCATTCTGAACTCCACCAATGATGGAATTGAACCAAATATGGCACACAGAACTCCCACGACGAACAGAAAATATATATCAATGATTGGTTGGGGGGGGGGCAAAATACTGTTTGCTTACCATTGAAAATTACCTAGGGCCTCCTCTGCATACTGCCATCATCATTATTTATATCCCACTTTTATCTGGATTGAGGTCTCATCTATACAGCCATATAGCATCCAGATTATCTGCTTTGAACTGGATTATAGTCTGGATTTTATATGGCAGTGTAAATGGGGCCAGGGCATTACAATCATCTGAAAATGCATTGACATTGTCAAATGAATGGAATTTGACCTCACTTCAACTGCCATGGCTCAATGCAGAGAATACTAAAGACCTTGAAAAACTACAACTCCCAGGTTTCCATAGCATTGAGTCATGGCAGTTCAAGTGGGGACAAACCGCGTTCATTCTACAGTGTAGATGTACCTCCCTTTGTTATGCTAGCTGAGAAACCAAATGATATGTAATCATGGGAGTTGTAGTTATGAAACTACAACTCCCAGGGTTCCATAGCCATGGCAGTTCAAGTGGGGTCAAACTGCGTTCATTCTACAGTGTAGATGTACCTCCCAGGAAGTGTTTGTTTGTTATGCTAGCTGAGAAACCAAATGATATGTAATCATGGGAGTTGTAGTTGTGAAACTACAACTCCCAGGCTTCCATAGCATTAAGCCATGAGAGTCAAGTGGGGTCAAACTGTGTTCATTCTATAGTGTAGATGTACCTCCCAGGAAGTGCGTGTTTGTTTTGCTAGCTGAGAAACAAAATGATATGTAATCATGGGAATTGTAGTTGTGAAACTACAACTCCCAGGTTTCCATAGCATTGAGCCATGGCAGTTCAAGTGGGGTCAAACTGCGTTCATTCTACAATGTAGATGTACCTCCCAGGAAGTGTTAGTTTGTTATGCTAGCTGAGAAACAAAACGATATGTAYTCCTGGGAGCTGTAGTTGTGAAACTACAACTCCCAGGSTTCCATAGCCATGGCAGTTCAAGTGGGGACAAACTGCGTTCATTCTACAGTGTAGATGTACCTCCCAGGAAGTGTTTGTTTGTTACGCTAGCTGAGAAACAAAATGATATGTAACCATGGGAGTTGTAGTTTCACAAGGTGAAAAACCTTGTGAAAACTACAGTTCCTGTGGTTTCATAGCTTTGAGCAATTACAGTGTCAAGCTGCATCCATTGTACGGCGTAGTTGCACTCTCACGTATGTACAACCTGGATGATGGGAGCAGCAATTCAATCCAATTATCACAACTGGAAATGACAATAAGAGTCATAAAACGAGAGTTGCAGTCCAAAACATCCGGGATGCGTCTGCCCACTTGCAAACTTCCCAGACTGTGATATAATGGCTCTGTCATGAGATAATGAGATCAGGATCTCAAGAGCCTCCCTCCGGCTAAGACGAAAACATCTGCTCTCTGTGTGGCTTCCTTTTGCAGAGCAAAGGCTCTTTCTTGGCGGCGTCTGGAACATCCGTCCAACACAAGCAAACTGAAAGAGTCCTCCACCTCCGCATTTCTGGGCTGCCTCCACACTGTAGAATTAATGCAATTAGGCCACACTTTAAGTGCCATGGCTCAACGCTATGGGATCATGGGAGTTGTAGTGTGGTAAAGCACCAACACTAATGAGCAGAGAAGGCGAAAGACCATGTAAAACTACAAGTCTCGGGATTCCAATATATTGCCCAAACGTGGTTTGAAATAAATATTTACACATTTAGCCCAACTGGACGTAATGTCAGGGGAAAAACTGGTAGTTAAGAGTTGCATGGATTCTGAAGGCCATATACATTAAGAACAGGCAAGCATCCCGAGCTCTGAGGATCACCTGGGAAGGAATCCCACTGGAGGATTGTAGCGCACCCAAATACCTGGGAGTTACCCTGGACCCTGGATGAACAACTGCACTGCATCCTGTCAGATCCCCAAAATCTGGAGGAAAGCATCATCGCCATCTTGAAGACAGGCAAAGACCATCATGATCCAAAAATCTACAGACCAATCTCCCTGTTGTGCCACCTCTACAAAGTTCGGGAGAGACTTATTTTGCATAGAATTACTGAAAAAATAGACCCATGTCTGATTCCACAGCAAGCTGGCTTCAGGAAAGGCAAAAGCTGCACATCGCAAGTGCTGAACCTGACTCAGCACATAGAAGATGGCTTTGAAAGGCAGCAGATCACAGGAGCTGTCTTCATAGACCTGTCAGCGGCTTATGATACTGTGAACCACCGCCTCCTCCTGAGAAAAATGTATAATATCACAAAGGACGACCACCTCACCCGCCTCATAGGAAACAGGAGCTTTTTTGTTGAATTCCATGGCCAGAGAAGCAGATGGCAGAAACAGAAGAACGGCCTGCCTCAGGGGAGCGTGCTTGCTCCATCCATGTTCAACATCTACACAAATGACCAGCACTGTCAGAAGGGACAGAGAGTTCTATCTATGCTGATGATTGTGTCATCACCGCCCATGCAAGGCGTTTTGAAATTGTTGAACAGAAGCTCTCTGAAGCTTTAGGTGCTTTTACTGGCCATTACTGGGGAAACCAGCTGATTCCTAATCCATCTAAAACACAGACATGTGTCTTTTATCTCAAAAACAGACAAGCATCTTGAGCTCTGAGTATGACCTGGGAAGGAATCCCACTGGAGCATTGCAGCGCACCCAAATACCTGGGTCACTCTGGACCGTGCTCTGACCTACAAGAAGCACTGCCTGAACAACAAGCAAAAAGTGGGTGCTAGAAACAATATCATACGAAAGCTGACTGGCACAACCTGGGGATCACAACCAGACACAGTGAAGACATCTGCTCTTGTGCTATGCTACTCTGCTGCTGAGTATGCATGCCCAGTGTGGAACACATCTCACCACGCTAAAACAGTGGATGTGGCTCTTAATGAGACATGCCAGCATTATCACGGGGTGTCTGTGCCCTACACCACTGGAGAAATTACACTGTTTAGCCAGTATTGTACCACCTGACATCTGCCAGGAAGTAGCAACCAATAGTGAAAGGACCAAGGCAGTGACATCTCTGGCCCACCCCCATTTTGGGTATCAGCCAGCATGTCAACAACTTAAATCAAGAAATAGTTTTCTAAGATCTACAGAGACACTTGCTGGAACACCTCAGCAAGCGAGAGTCCAAAAGTGGCAGGCTCAAACCCAGAACATCAATCAATGGCTGATACCAAATGAGAGACTCCCTCCTGGGCACAAAGAAAAGTGGGTGACTTGAAAAGCGCTGAACAGACTGAGCTCTGGCCCCACGTGATGCAGAGCCAACCTTAAGAAATGGGCACAAAGTGGAATCCACAACATGCGATTTAAATTAAGATTAAAATTAATACACATTAAAACAGTTAAAAACGTTACATCCATATATTTATTTATCGTGTCATCAGCAACCATACCATTGTATTACATTTCTAACAGAACAAAACAAACAAACAGATAAAAAAACACAGATTTTGAAAACTTGGTAGTTGATTAAATGTCCTTTGACCAGTATCTGGCCACTTGGAGTGCCTCTGGTGTTGCCGCAAGAAGGTCCTCCATTGTGCATGTGGCAGGGCTCAGGTTGCATTGCAGCAGGTGGTCAGTGGTTTGCTCCTCTCCACACTCGCATGTCGGGGATTCCACTTTGTAGCCCCATTTCTGAAAGTTGGCTCTGCATCTCGTGGTGCCAGAGCACAGTCTGTTCAGCGCCTTCCAAGTCGCCCAGTCCTCGGTGTGCCCAGGGGGGAGTCTCTCATTTGGTATCAGCCATTGATTGAGGTTCTGGGTTTGAGCCTGCCACTTTTGGACTCTCGCTTGCTGAGGTGTTCCAGCAACCTCTTATAGCAACACCAGAGGCACTCCAAGTGGCCAGCTACTGGTCAAAGGACATTTAATAGAATGCCAAGTTTGCAAACTTTGTGTGTGTGTTTAAATACAATACAACTGTTTGGTTTGCTTCTGACACGATAAATAAATAAA